AGAGAGTTAGGGCCTTGCTCTGGATTAGGCTTTGGCTTAAGGGAATGTTGTGGCTGGTTTGATCTTCTATCCAGACCACTAAAACTTTCTCCATATCAGCAATAAGGCTGTTTTGCTTTCTTATCATTCGTGTGTTCACTGGAGTAGCACTTTTAATTTCCTTCAAGAACTTTTCCTTTGCATTCACAACTTGGCTAACTGTTTGGCACAAGAGGCCTAGCTTTCGGCCTATCTCGGCTTTTGACATGCCTTCCTCACTAAGCTTAATCATTTCTAGCTTTTGATTTAAAGTGAGAGACGTGCGACTCTTCCTTTCACTTGAACACTTAGAGGCCATTGTAGGGTTATTAATTGGCCTAATTTCAATATTGTTGTGTCTCAGGGAATAGGGAGGCCCAAGAACAGGGAGAGAGACGGGGGAACAGCTGGTCGGTGGAGCAGTCAGAACACACACAACATTTATCGATTAAGTTTGCCGTCTTATATGGGCGTGGTTCGTGGCGCCCCAAAACAATTACAATAGTAACATCAAAGATCACAGATCACCATAACAAATATAATAATAATGAAAAAGTTTGAAATATTGCGAGAATTACCAAAATGTGACACAGAGACATGAAGTCAGCAAATGCTGCTGGAAAAATGGCGCTGATGGAAAAATGTTGCCAATAGACTTGCTCGACGCAGGGCGGTAAATGAGCATGTGTCAATGCACCCAGTTATTTGCAATGAGTAGTCAAGGAACTTCAGTATTGCCAACCCTGCCGTGTCAAAAGCCATGAAACAAACTCCTAAAAATCAAGAGATTTGGAATGTAAATCATGAGAAGCTATTTTTGAAGAGTGTGTGTGTGGAGGGCATGGTTGGTTATTTGCGAAGGTGTGGAGGGCTGTGAGTCCATGTGTGTGTGTGGGGGGGGTCACCACACACCCTGGCAGGATGTGGGGTACTGTAAGTCAGGAGTAAGGGGTAGCAGCAGGGCTGGGGGAGCTGTGGCTTGGGCGTGACACACACACACAGCCAACCACAGCTCTATTGCATGACTCACTCCAGCCCCTACCCCACTCCCTCCCTCACCAAGGGGACCTCAATCTCCCCCCCACCCCTTCCCTCTCCCCCTGCCCCTGCCCTTCCACAGACTTATCAGCTTGGAGCTCTCTACATGCACCAAAAGAAAAAAAATCCTAAGATTTGATCTCTCTATCAGGAGATCATGAGTCAGAGTTAATTTGACTTGGAAATCATGAGTCTCATGATTCCTTCATGAGAGTTGGCATTATTGGGACTAGTCTGTCAAACTTCATCCACAGTGCTCTGCCTTTCTCCACCATGACAGCTGCTGGATTTGGGACCATATGTATTTGCTCCACCAGTGGGAACTTCATGGTTTGAGATCAAAGTTTTCTTTTTCTAGGCTGGTGGCCTTACAGGGTTGATGAACTTGACCTCCTGGCCTTGAAGCCAGAGTTGTCCATCTCCTAGATAATTTCCCATTTCCCAGCCATTCTCAACATGAGTGACTCTATCCTGAAAAAATGAAGATGATGATGATAGTTGTTGTTGTTGTTGTTGTTAGTTCTGTCTATAACAACAACAACAACATCTGATGAACTATTGCAATTTGTCTGCTGGAGCATGCTAATTAGTGTGCTCCATCGGCATCTGTGTCACATCTATTCAGCCTTCCTGCACTTCAAAATGATGTCGGGGCACTTTAACTAAAGCTTATTGAATGAGTTTTAATTAAAGTGCCCCTACAGCCATTTTGCAGCATGGAATGCTGAATGCATGTGATGCTGTGGTTGCTTTAATTAGAGCAGTTCATGGAGCCACTCCAATTAAAGTGCCCCCACCCTAAAGCACGTGTAAAGACTCTCCATGTGTTTAAAAGACACATGAATATAGCAAAATAAACAAAATCGTCCTATGATTTGGACATGCCAAATGTAATGTAATCTGGTAATATTATGAAAACCTGGTTTGGGCCGCTAATCGAAAACTGAACAACAGTCTAACTGTAAGATCAAGCAGAGTTAGTGTCTGGCGTGCACACTTCCAAGAGTCGGGGGTGGTGCTGGGGGGTCATCTGTGGGCTCCAAGAGCAGGGTAGGATGCAGGCTGCACAATTCTAAGAGAATGTCAGGACACAGCCTTAAACCCAGGGCTTCCACCTGCCTGGATCAGCCTCTCACATAGGTCTGGAACCTCTCCAATTGGCCATCCAGGCCAAGAAAAGCTGAGAGAAGTAGTTAGCTGCGTTAGTATGAAATCAGTCAGAAGGCAGGGTAGATATCCACCTTTATAGACTGACTGAATGAGATGCATATAAAGGCTAAGTATAGACATTCAAAAAGCCCAAGCCTGAATTGATTCAATCTTTTCAGGTTACTCTAATCTGCGTAGTTTGAACCAATTTGCAAGTGAATAGACGTTCACTTTTCATTCTGGAAATGAAGGCACATGCAGGCTGGAAGCATGGGGGGGTGCTAGAGTGAACCCTCCCTTCCTTTCCACAGCAGCCACAAGGCTGGAGGGAAACTGAAGGGGGAGGGGAGCGTGACCAGGTCTCATCAGGCTAAGTATGATTGGGAAGGGGTTTAAACCACCACCCTGACCTGGAGGGTTCCCAGCCAGGATCTGCCTGGCTTTTCCCTGCCCTGCTTGAATAGCTGAGGTGGGGAAGTGTTGTGACAGGGCTGCTGGTCATCTTATGTAGAGTTTAGAGTATGAGTGTGTACAGGATGGTCTGAACAGGGATGCTCCTGCCTTAGGCAGGGGCAGGGCTAGATGTGACCCCTGCAGGTCCCTCCCAGCCCCACTCCTCTAGGATTCCATGTCCTAATCCAGAGAGGAACCCCTTGTGCTGCTCCAAGAACAGAACATTTCAGGCCTCTTCTCTAGTACAGAAAGAATAGGGGGAAAGGCCTGGAGCTTGTTTCCCTGCCGAGACAATCATCTTTGTGCAGGGACAGGCACAACGGGCTGCATGAAGCTGAGGGACACACACACCCACACACACACACACGCACGCACGCAAGCACACAACGAAATGAAGCAGGGCCAAGTGCTACACAGTCCCTGCTCTCTGCCTTCCCTTCCCCGTGGGCTTCCCTCAGCCATGCTCAGAGGTTGGGGCCCATCCCCTCAGCCCCCACCCCTGTGTATTTTAAGGGGCTGGAGGGAGCAAGAGGGGCCTGACCCTGGACATGCAGGTGGGCTGTCTCTTTGAGGATGCATGGTGCAGGTGTGATGGCTTCCTGAACTCTGTGATGTAACAATGGGGAGAAGGCAAGGCATTCAGAAGTGGGCTCTAGACCCAGGGGCACTTGCTGAGCGGTTTCTCCCCCCACCAGAGCCACGTTCAGTCCCAGGCCCAGTGCAGGGCAAGTGTCCCTGGGGGAGTTGAAGGCTGTGGCACCGATCAGAAGACAAGTGGGGATCTCCCTTCCTCAACCCCTGGTACCAACTCTGCCTGAGTCACTCTTACTCACCTTTGGGAAGCTGCAGCCACCGCTGGGGAAATTTCCAGTGCTGGCCTGCAGACCTCCTGGGTGCTGCAGCTGCCTGATCATAGCCTCTTCTTTCAGACTGCTCAGCAGCTGGGCCAGCCACTGCAAGTAGTGGCAGGGCTCGGCACAGCTGGGAGCAGCAACATTGGCAGATCTCCCGGAAGGAGCCAGCCAGCCCCCACAGCACCTGGGCCAGCCTGCACCTGGCCACATGGCAGCTCTGTTGCTACTGTGGGGCTGCCCCAGCTGAGCAGCGCACCCGGGCACAGCACCGGGATCAGCCACATGGGGTCCAGGGGCAGCAGGCAGGGCACTGCAAGCAGGGAAGTGGCCTTGGCCAGGCCAGGCCCAGGGAGACCCCGGGGCTGCTTCCCTGCTTGCAGTGCCCTGGCTGCTGCCTCTGGGCCCTGTGCAGTTTCCCCAGGCACTGTGCCTGGGCAAGCTGCTCAGCTGAAGCAGCCCTGTGGCAGTGGTACGCAGGTGTTGCAGGGGCCAGCTGGCTAATGGGGGACCTGCCACTGTTGTGTTCCTGGCCATGATGAGCCCCACTCCCTGGGCCTGGCCTGGCCAGGGCCCCTTCCCTGCTTACAGCGCCCTGACTGGTGCCCCTGGGCCCTGTTTGACTGCTTTGGGTTCTGCCTAGGTGTGCTCCTTGGCTGGGGCAGCCTCGCAACAGCAGTGGAGCTGCCAGGCAGCCAAGTGCAGGCTGGCTCAGGTGCTGCAGGGGCTAACTGGCTCCAGCCGGGGGGCCTGTTGCTGCTCCCAGCTGTGCTGAGCCCTGCCAGTGCTTGGCTCGGCTGCTGGGTGGTCTGAAAGAGAAGGCTGCGATCAGGCAGCTGCAGCACCTAGTAACTCTGCAAGCCAGCACTGGTAACTTCCCCAGCAGCAGCCTTGGCTCCCCAAAGGTGGGTGAGAGTGACTCAGGCAAAGTCAGCAATAGGGGTTGGGGGATCCCTGCTTGTCTCCTAATTGGTGCCACCACCTTCTTCTCACCTGGGGCACCTGCCCTGTACTGGGCCAGAGGCTGAGCATGGCCCCAGCAGGAGGAGAAGCTATTTGGCAGGTCCCAGGTCCAGTGGCCACTTCCAAAAGCCCCACAATTTCCCCATTGTTGCATCACAGAGGGGGGCAGTGTGGGCATCCCTCCAGGGGCATCTCTTCCCCTGCTCACCTCCCTCTGCTTCTGTCTGTAACAACACTGGCCCGGCCCATCTCTCTCCCCCTTTGCCTCAGGCCCAGGGCTGCCCCACCCCACTGCTCATCCCACCCTCACCCCTTCTCCGCCAGCCAGCCAGAGTACTGATAGTGTTCCAGTTATGGAGGAGACGGGTAGAGCCAACCCTGCTCCCCCAGCCCAGCCCAGGGCTGCAAAGCATGCTGGGATGCTAGGGGACTGTGAGTTAACTTAAACCAGGAAGTTCCTTAAACCTGGGACAGAAGTTCCATAAA